AAAAAAAAAAAAAAAAAAAAAAAGAACATTGTCCGGCTCCATCTTACTAATAGAGAAATTACACGTTAGTGTGGACAGGGCTTTTTCTCCAGTCACTGGGGGTCTTTAGCATCCGAATGAAGCTGCGTGCTTTGGGGAGAGACCTGGGCTCCAGGCTGCTAATGCAGGGACATGACATGGATGGTGTATTATCATGTACAATAAACACACACACACACACACACAGAGGACCTAGTCATTGCTCTAAAAGATGAAGGGCTGTCAAAACTATATAATTTATATAATATGTACATATTAAATTTTTAGTTGCTTAAACATAAAACATTTTTTAATATGTACATATAAAAATAAGAATTACCCAGACCCAGATGTTTTTTTTAAATCTCTAAATTGCCTCAAAGTCCTAACATTATAACTAGTTTATAGCACGGCGAGGTTGAATTCTCTAATCTGATTGGTCAGGAGGTGTGCATTATTTCTGTGTAACAGCACAGCTTGGACAATAGTTCCAGCTGTAACGCGAACAACGAACAGGGACTTGTACGGCGGATGCTCCACATAATTTAAGACTAATAAGATGAATTTGGAAAAAACTTATTGACGTTTAACAAAGAAAAAACATATAATCATTGATGTGGTGACGTTTTTGTTATGTTGTTTAACATGGAACTAACGTGTCTCTCGGACATTCCACATCATTAAATCTTATCTATAAACCATTACAATGTACGACGTGTTGTTCATTAATAAATGAATAATTCAGGGGTGGTAACTCAGCTTCACGTCGTGCCGCATCACACCACCCCAGTGTGGATTATTTTCGTATAACCGCATGGTCTGTTGTGTGCTATTCCTTACAAATTAAATAATAAATGATTTATTTTAAATAACATTATAAGCCCGATGTGGAAGCAGTTAGTACTTCATTACATAAACTGCTAGTTTTCATCTTCCATGTGAACGTTTGCTTGTCTGATGGCAGTATGCAAATCACACAAATTTTACATTTAATTAATATTCAAATGCATTTGAATACTAAACTGAAATTCAGTTACGGTTTTTAAAGGTATTTGACAGCCCTAAACATGTTAACGCAGCCTCTCAATGCACTCACCTGACATTAAGGCTGGAATCTTCCAGATCATCATATATATCATCAGGTCCCTCCGGTGGTGGAGGCAGAACAACTGAGAACAGCAGAGGGCAGTGTTAGCCATGTTACCTTGTTCTTAAACGCACAATAAAACTTGTTAAATAGCACTATTCTTAGTTCCTTCTGTATTTTATTTTCTCAAATATTTTTTCATGTTTTATAGAGAGTTATAACTTCATTAGTGATTGTGCATTTTTCTTTAATATGCCGCATCAATAAATACCTTTGTTTTGACTTTCTCATCTTTTATATGTAAAGCACTTTAAGATGCTGAACTCCAAATGAAAAAGTACTATACAAGTAAAGATGATTAGAATTAATAAGCCCCACTGTGTCCTAAAACATGCTAGCAAAACTGAACTGTATGTGGTTTTAGGTGAGACAGGTGTCTATAATTAGTTTCATTAGTTTCGTAGCTGAAGTGCAGAAATAAAGAAGCAAAACACGTCGGACACAAAACATGTCTTGGCTGAGTGACTCTTTGAGTAAATGCCACAGTTTGGATGATACTGAACAAGGCATTTCAGACTCACCTCCTGGACCACTGTTTCCCCTGAAATGAAATATAATTGTATGAATGAACTAAGCTACATGAACAAATGAAAGATTATTTGCATGTTTTGCCTGGTGCTCAGTTATGTTTATGTGGATTTGGACAGAGTTCCGATACGGTACCTACTGCTGTCCTCCTGAGACCCCACATCATCGTACAAGTCTCCATCATTCTCAGGCAGGGACCTGCTCTGATTTTTCAGAGAATCAAAGTCGATCTCGACTGATTCAGTCTTTACATAGCCACCTGAAATGGAAAACGGTGTTTCAGCATCTTTAGCAGTGAACCAAAGTCTGGATTATGCCATTTTACACAAATGCAACAACAATCATCACGGTATCCTACTGTATTTATTTACATCTAATGTTGTACAATGTCAGTTACACAAGTTGGTTCCTGTTATCATTGTATCACTTTACAGCAGCTAGCCACTCTTGTTCTCTCTCATGTTAATAAGACGAAAAAGCGGCTTGCTAGAGGACAAACTGCAAAAAGCGTACACTCTTCTGTCCCAAAGACATCTGCTTATTAGGCTTAGATTATGTGGAGCGTCCACCATGCAAGTCGCTGTAAATGAGCTGTCACTATAGAGCACATCAATATAAACCTGTGCTTTGCCTTATGCCTAGCAACCAACACATTTTCACTAATTAGAATTGAGAATTCAGCAGTGCAGTGCTATAACCGATGTTAAATTGTTAATCTGGCCAACGTCACTATCAATCCAGCTATAATTAGAAAAACTTCTGTGGTGATGTCACATGATCAGGTTTGTGAACAGCAACAGCAGCTTAGAGAGAGATGCTCAATTAGCTTAAT